GATCGGTGACAGTGTTGAAGCGGTGATAACCAATCTTTGGTTTCCGCTAACAATGGTAGTTTTATTTGGATGGAAAGAGTTTAAACTGAGGTTTTTGTCCACCTTTTACGTCGCTTTTATCTTCGGAGAAACGACAGTAATTTATTACTTATTTTTGCTAGTATTTGGTGTCTACGGTACGAGCGTGTATTACAGATATTCTGCAAATGCGCTGTTCTTTATTGGTATAATCTGCTGTTGCATTCTCGTGCTTCGCAATATCCGAGCGAACCGATCGAGGAATCATACATTGTCCTATTCTAAGTTTCATATTTTGGCTTTAGTTTCAGCAGAGTTCATGGCATGTTCTGTACTGGCAGTGACCTACAGATACGCTATAGTGCCTTTATTCAATGGCATAAAACAAGAAATTTACAAATTCTTGGTAGCTGTGATGGTGCCAGGATTAACCATTATCCCTGCGGCAATTTGTAAGCACATAGCGTTGAGACGAAGCTCCGAGGTTGTACACCCCGGCCGGAGTTTTGTCCTAGTGTACATTATCCGAGTATACAGTATACTCTTATACCGCACAATGCAAGCAGATTTGAAAAACATTCGGCTTTTTATTGGGTTATCTCTGTTCTCTGGTTTTCTGAACTTTTTGGAAAAGGCGACCCATCGAATACGGATGAAATTGTGGACATATATTATCTCACTTTTGAATCGAACTGCTTGCTGTCAGGGGCTCAATGAATTGCCTCAAGATACACCGCATTATAGACGGTTAAAAGCGGACTTAGAAATTCAAGATATGCTTTCTGAATACAGTACACTTGTTTTAAGCCAAGGCTACTTCGTGTTGTACTTTGTAGAAAGTTTTAAACTTTCGGTGTCGTCTTTCTGTTTGGAATCTCTGAAAAGGGTTGCAATTGGCATTGGAATTGACTTCGTTTTCAATTGCCTTTCAAATTTTTGGCAAATCCATCACTACAATATTCCAGTTGGTCGCGTTTGGAAGGAAGACTGGAAACGACACATGTTGGCCAACTTCATCATCGTCATTGTGTTGGTGTCATACTTCAGCCCCGTCCTTCTTTCGGTATTTCAAGCACGGGAGTCTGGGACAAGTAACACACAGTATATTGTCAGAAATTGTACATTTTTCTAATCTGACTGGTTGACCTTCTCATATAAACAAGTTGACTTTCTCAAAAAAACTAGTTGTAGCCTATACTGCTAAATATAGATGGGTTTCACCAAACATTTCCAATCGGCAAATCCCATATCAATGGGATTTGCAGATGCAAAGTCGAAGGGCCGCAGGTTCGATTCCTGTCAGAGGGTCTATATACAGGGTGTATCAAAAAAAGCGCAATCCTCGACTGAAAAGTAAATTGCTAAACAAATAATAGACGAAAACGTTAAAGTTGACATTCATTTTAAAGCGTAGCCATTCAGCTTTCTAACAGTGGGTTGTTTCTTAAATTTGACTCATTGGTTCGCGGGTAATAATACTTTACGTTATTGCGATTGGAGATTAAAAAAATTGAGATAGAATAACAAATCGTTCTCATGAAAATAACTGATTTTTTCATTAAAACAAACAAATGTTGCATTTTATTAAATGGATTGTAACAATAAGTATAATTACGGCTTTTCTTCCACTATTTTTAACTCAGTTTGAAACTTCAAATGCGATATAATTTTAGCTTGGACCATCTAAGCTGACTGACATCAACTTGCTATAATTTCTGTTTACATTACATTACATCGCAATTCGATGACACTCTGGCTCAGACACCAGAATGTTTTGACGATTTTAGCATTCGTTTAGGATTTTCAAACAACCTGGTCTCTTTTAAAATACTTTTAATTTGTTCTTACGTGGTTTTCCAGATGTAGTGACGACAACATTAAAGTTTAAAGAAAATTCTAACATTTAAACCGACTAAACAATAACATAGTAAACTTGCATAATTAAACAGCAACTAAAAATGATAGGTTTTACTAAATCTTTTCCTGTGCAATTATTACTAGCATTGGAGACAGGATAATAGTTTGTTTGAAAGAGAAAAGAACAGGCTTTGAAGTAAGCCTAAAAGCGTTTAACTAGAAATAGTATTTCGAAAGTTATTAAGCACAAAAGATGAATTGCGTTTATTTTGATACACCCTGCTGTTCCTGGTTAGGTATAAAAAATGTATGAAAATTCTACTCGAGATTTTGATCTACAAATCTCTTTGACAAGTTCAACACTTATAGTGAACAATTTAGCCGCGCACTACACTGTCCTCACTTGATGAAGCTCACGAATATAGCTATACACACTGCAGAATCGCGTGTAATCTATTTAACTCATGGCTTATACCAAACCTTGTTTATGTAACACAAGCTCGCATGCATCTATATATAAATGCATCACCATCTAATGCATATAACGAACTGCACTGTATTTGAAAAACTGGACCGTATATCATGAACAAATCAGGATAGATAAGTAAGTAAGTAAGTAAGTAAGTAAATAAAAACTTTATTTCGTGAGGGAAATATATATTATTAACCATTACAGTTCATATCTAATATACGCAGGGACCGCGGAGACGGGGGGGGGGGGGCTGGGGGGCTTTAGCCCCCCCCCTTTTTTTGACAGCCAAAATTATTAAAATAGAAATCTAAATGAAACTTTCTAAATTAATTAAACCTTTTCTAGGCATTTTTAACTTTCGCATCTAATTAAAATGAATAAAGCTAAGCACCCCATTATGTGTACCTTACATGAAGTTCCCTTCAACACAGCCACGTGCTCCGAAACGAAATTATTATTTATATTCATATGGTTTTTGCAAAGTTTCCGCAATGGAGTTGAAACTGCCTTTATTTTTGAATTTATAAACAACAAATCAATTTATAAACAACAAATTTTATCGCTTACGTTTGTTTCAAAATCAATATCAAAAAGTTTGTTTATAAAGTTTTTATTTTTGTTGTGTTAAGTTTTTTAAGGAGGGCTTAAAATTGTTAAGATACTCTTAGTTTATAAAGTAGCCTAGTAAAAGATTGCTTAGAAGTTTGTAAAAGGTCTAAATTTTGTTACTATTTATGACGATGGTCTTGGAGATTTTTTGCTAAAGTTCCTCCAAAAATGCAGGAAATAGCGTTTAAGGTAATAGAAAATTGAACATTTTCCTTGGGGGTTTTATTAATGATTTAGCCCCCCCACTCTCTAATACGCTCCGCGGGCCCTGATACGGCCCTAAGTTTGTAGACTTAAAATCGCAATAAATATTTTTTAGAAACGCATTAATAATTCATGAGGAAAACACAAAGAAAAATCATAAGCGTGTCGTATCTTTATATGTGACAGAGATTTCCCTTGATTTACATAAACTTTAACTTTGATTTTCTCGACTTACACAACGTATTTTTTTTAACTAATTTTTTTAACTAACGTTTTTGAAGTAATTTAAAACATTCGCAGTGCGTGTTTTATCAGACCTAAAGGCTAAACTAAAGATACTCGGCTTCCCCTCGTATCTTTATATCTGATAAAACACTGCTGCTCATGTTTTAAATTGTACTTAAATGTTACTCAATCATCACGACGATTTGATATATACGCGACAGTGCATGGTATAACCTGAGAGTTGAAGAGCTTTTTATCAATCTATACACACGTAAAAACGCACAAGTTGTAACAAGTGGTTGTAGCAATGTTGTTCTAACAACTTGTCAACAGGATGTGCTCGCATTGCTTGTTCCCAGCTTGTTGACAACTTGCTACAGGGTTCTCGAGCTCAACAGACTTGTTGCAAGTTGTTTCAACAACTTGTTATCGTCCTACAATTCAACAATTTGTCACAAGTTGTGATTGACAACCTTGTTGCAACTTGATAAAATAAAAGCATTGTTACACCTCGTTGACAAGCTTGCTACAAGTCTGTTGCGAACACATCTTGTTGACAAGTTGTGAGATTTTCACGTTTGTAAGCAAGACTTTACACGCAGTTCACACGGTTGAAGACGAATTCGAAACCGTTCTATCAAAATTTGCAACATTGCATTTTTTACCCTGTGGGATGCATTAAAGACCAAACAAAAATATGAAAAACAACTGCATGTGAGCACAGCTGCATGGCTGGGAATTCGTTTGTAAACAATATTGCAACTGGGCAAATTTTCGTACGGTTCCGAAATCGTCAGATCTCCTGTGAACTAGGAGTCGCAGTAATTGGCTTTCTACCGTTGTAGTATCCCTGTCAAATCAGTTCCCACGGTTTTTCTTTTTTAATTGTATGTAATCTAATAAAAAAGGATAATTATAATTTATTTGTCCAGCAGAGTCGCGGTCAACTTCAGCAGTAATGTTCACACAGGGTTCGTTCAGTTTAAAAAAATTTCGTCACAACATATGACAAATACAAAAACAAATACAGAAAGCTTAGGCCCGTCACATACACCGTGCTTCACATGTGTCGATCATACGGCGTATTTTATTCAGGCGATTTTCTTGATTGCTTCAGACGCCGAACTCTTGCAGTACCTAATTCTTGAATTAGTTTATTTGGTACGTGTGAAATAACTCCTACACGCATACTTAAGG